AGACTTGAACCCGGATTCGAACCATAGATTTCGTGTTAGCAGTCTTATGCTCCACCATTCGACCACGCCTTCCAATAATACTTTCATTGTAGCAGGTTTCATGTTCACAGAAGTAGACTACATCCCTATTCATTTTAAAGCTTAGAATTTATTTTAATAACTGTTTAAAAAATATTTTTTTCTTGAAAGTCTTGGAATCTTTGACAGAATACAGCGCGATCTGCTGATATAATACAATTATAACACACACACACATACACACACACACACGCAGCCCCTTGGCTGAAGCAAAGTCCGACCCAGTTGTGTATTTATGTATGTCCTGTTTGACTTTATATGTGTGCGTGTACGCCTAAGTGTATGTTTATGTGTGCATTTTTATGTATGTGTTTGCCGGTGTCTCGAGTATGATCAAACTAACCCTAGCCTTTACACTTGTTTTTTGTTTGTGTTATGTGCAGCCTAAACTTAGCCATAAATATAACCCTAACCGCTACATTCGTTTTGAGATGGAATGTTTAAGTCAACCCTCGCCTACCAAACCAACCCTATTCAACACCACTTTCTTACCAACTACAAACCTCAGAGGCGTAGCGACCCTTCCCGGCGCCCGCGGACAAACTTTTCGATTTGCACCCCACCCCCCTCAAGATTTCGATTTGCACCCCCTCCCCCTCAAACTTTCAATTTGCACCCCCCTCAACCTTTCAATTTATTTTTCCAACCCATTTTGGCGCCCCCTAAGGTCGGCGCATATGTACCCCCCCCTCCCCGCCCCCCCCCCCCCCTCGCTACGCAACTGACAAACCTACGTAGATCACGCCCATACTTCGTCGTGTGAGCAAACACAAGTGTTTGCTTGGCTGACGTCACAGCTGTCTTTAACTCGTCATTTCCGACCAACCTACTTCCTTAATGACGTAATATATGCATGAAAGGCAAACACTGAAATATAGGTATTGACACATTTAATATTCATAAGGAAGTTTAATCATTCCGGCTAATCTCCATATCACTAGTTTAGCTTAAGTCATTATTTTAATACTTTTCTTTAGAATCAACATCAGGTGGGTGGGAGCGAGTAGGGCGCAGAATTAAGGGCGCTAAGAGTGGTAGTAAAATATTCTTAAAAGTGTATTCAAATAGCGAACGTAATGTTTCACTATACTGTAGCTAGTGCGATAAGATAAATCCCACAAATGCTGCCTATTGTGCTTACAGTTAATTAAACTAGTGTCATGGTGTACTGTGTTCAGAGACGTAGCGAGTGGGGAGGGGGCGGGGATACTTATGTCCTTGGGCGCCGACCTCAGGGGGCGCCAAAATGGGTTGGAAAAACACATTAAAATATCATTTTAGCTGCAGTTTTGCATTATAAATCTAAAAAATATATGGGGGGGGGGGGTGTGCACATCGAAAGTTTGAGGGGGGGGGGGGGGCGACAAATTGAAAGTTTGTCCCCGGGCGCCGGGAAGGGTAGCTACGCCTCTGACTGTGTGTATATAGGGTAGGAAAGTTAATAGTTCGCCCCTGACCCTGGTGTGGATCTCCACGCTTCTGACTGACCTCATTAGGACATTTTCTTTTAGATAACATTTCTTTGCAAGTTTAAATTCCTTTGCAAGTTCCTTGCAAGTTTAAAGTCCTTTACAAAAAAATCAGTCTATTTTAAAATTCGTCATCATATTAAATGTAAAGTAGGTCTTTGTTTTAATAAAGGGGGGGGGGGGGGTCATGCCAGCGTCGATGTAAATTGACTGAGAGGTCACGTGATCAGTACCAGGTCAACATGGAGCTGTTTGTGTAAGGTATAGCTCAGATATGGTTGTACAATGCTACAGGTAAAACTAGGAGTATGTCGGGCTCGATAGTAGAGGCTAGCGTCTATACAGGTTTGTAGGAGCCTGTTGAAGCTGCAGTCGGTTGAAATATGTTATGTCTATACCATAAGTAGCAGGAAAATATGAGTTTGTATGCGTCATTCAGCCAGCCTCTCCCAAGAAATGCTTGAGATATATTTAAATAAAATATAAATGAATCGAGGAACCTGAGTTAGTGTTTGTGAGTTGGGTCTATTGAAAGATATTTTTAACATTTGCTGGCAACACCTTTCACTTAAAACCTATCACACCAATCCCCTATCCCACCTATCCACTATCCCACCTATCCCCTATCCCACCTGTCCACTATCCCACCTGTCCCCTATCATACATATCCCCTATCACACCTATCCCCTATCGCACCCATCACACGTATTATCTGCAGATAGAAAAGTTATTAGTTTTTCACACACACACACACACACACACACACACCGTGGGCGTGGCTTGATCTACCTGGCTCCACGCCTGACGTCACTACAGGATGACGTCAATTAAACATGACGCTCGATCAAGTGACTCCTGACCCAGTTATCTTACGTTTTGATGGAATTAACACTGTATAATAAGTTTATGTAACGTTTGCTCAGTTATCACATTGGCGTAGACTATATTACAGCCAGTGTTAAACCTACCACTAGTGTACGCAGTCAGTTTCAGACCTACCACTGGTGTACACAGCCAATGTTAAACCTACTATTAGTGTACACACCCAACGTTAACCGTACCATAGCGGATAGCAAGAACGTAGTATTTCACCATTTCTAGTAGCTATCGTCTGTTTAACTAAGTCTTTGGGCTGAAATTACTTGCTCAACATTTCTCTAAATCAACATTATCTCATTTCATTAGTTCAGTTTTAATCAGTGTTTCAGACTTTTTCGGGTGGGTGGGGGCACTTGAAAGTTTCGGGGCTCGGGGCGTACTAAATTTTCAAGAGGGTGGGGGCGGACACTGGTAAAAGTATCTGTTTTCTATATAAATACTATTTCGTTTCAAGTGTAGGGTTTTCAAGGGTGGGTGGTGGTAGACGCTCTTAGCCGCCCCCCCCCCCCCCTTTCCCCAAGAGATGCATAAAAGAAACTCTGGTTTTAATGAAATAGTGATATATATTATGAAAAGCGAATTTCCGATAGAAGTGTGAAAGTTTTGACATATTACATGAAGGATACATTAAAATAAATGTACAAGCATAACATAATTATACAATGATAAAAAAAAGATAACGAGGTCCGTTTTGTCAAGCTGAACCTTTTAGTTAGTGATAGTATAGTATTGTCATGATCTTCTAACAATATCAAGTGCAATAACGAAATATCAAGTCCTTTTCGTTATTATTATTAAATTAAGTCAATAAACATATGTCTATTGCATGTTGTCTATAACTTAGGCAACATATAGTTGACATAAAGCTAGGCAGACTTATACACAGCCTACGACCTATCTCACAAGACCCGCGTCTGCTGGTGCGTACTGGGTAGTTATCCCACTGTTAATGCGTGGAAATTAGGTTAGGTGTTTGTTTTTTAAAATCTAGATTCTTGACCTACTAGCATTGTCCAGAAATAATTGTGCTCGACAACTAAACTTTGTACTGTACTTTAATTTTTGTTTTATTGTTTCCCTTTATGAATTGAAAAAAATATATCTTAAGGCCTACCTGATAAACATTTTTAAAAAATGATTTCAAGTAAAGAAATATTGGTTAGAAAATCAAAATTCTAATACATAAAAATGACAAAAATTGGGTGGGATGAGACAGACAAAAAAATGTCAACCATGCTATTAATTCCATTAAATCATTGTTCCCATTAAAGTTTTATGGTTAATGTTTTTAGCGCAATTTCCATTCTGGAGAATTGCTTTTATTAACTCGTCATTTCTGGGAATGTATGGATGGATGAATGGATGGATGTGTGTCCGCAGCTTTAAGTCATATCTCCTCCTCAACGAAGCAATATCGAGGACTAGTTCCAAAAGCAAATATGTTAAGCAAGTTACGAGGATGAACATAGGCCAAAAAAATTCCGGGTTTCTTTCATGGATTTCCTGGAAAAGCCAAAAAACCTTTCAAAAATGCAGTTTTTTGCCCATATCTCGGCAACCAGACCAATAAGCGACTTGAAACATGTACCAATCGATTCCTGCCATAATTTAGAACAATATTGCCGAAGAAAGTTTTCAAAAATATCCTTTCGTTCGGTCACAAACATTTTTTTTAATTAATTAAAATTTGGACCGAATTAGTAGGCATTTTTATCCAACCACACCACACGCGTCATCACGTTCAATAGCTGCGCCATCACGTTCAATGGCTGCGACATCACGTTCGGTAGCTAGGCGCGCAATGGTTTTTAGTCATGTAACGCTATTGTAAATAAAACATGTAAAATACTGAAATTTTTTTAAAATAAAAAACGTTTTAATAACTAACCAATGGTTTTATTAGCCCTGCTCTTGATTTACGCTACGACAGAGCTATTTTTAGATAACATAAGGAAATTGCGCTTAAATGTCACTAGACTTTTTAATTAACTTGTTTTTTTTTAAATTTATTTAATTTTAATATTCTTTTTACGTATTGTATTTCTCGTGGTTGAGCTGCAGCCTATGCTTCTCAGGATAAAGTAGAGTAGGCCCTAAGTTGAGATCTGCTAGATCTTTACACGTCACTTTTACATGACATAATGTATTTTACAAACTCAACATTGTCAACATTCTAATATAGATCTAGATTCTATAAAAATGGACAAAAAAAATAGGGTAGGGGTGTGGGAGAGAGACAGAAAGTGTAACGAACGAAAAGACTGCTGTCCCAATCTCAACGATGCTATTAATTCTATCAAATTATTTTATTCATTTTTCAAATGTAAAGTTTTAAGGGTTTTTAAATGTTTATTATTTTTTTTTTACACGTTTCAGATGTTGTTTAATGAGAATAGTGAAAGAGTGTGAGAATAGGAGAGAGAACAAGTTTTAGAAAGAAAACAGTTTCATTAGACTTATACTCTAGGGCCTTATGGAGTACAAGATCTAGATCTATAGGCCTAGATTTACAGAAGTGATTTGAAATAGATCTAGATCTAGGGCCTAGTCTAGATCTATTCTATTTCCGACTCGGCAAATAATTTTCTTTTCCCACCTGGCAACAGGCAATTGCGCGCCTAATTTCAAGAAAATGGCAGAAAAAGTCGCTCACAATGGGAATTCGTCTTAGTAAGTAGTTAATCTAGATTCTACATTTACTATAATATTTGCAGCGCAATCTTTCTTATTTAAACTTTAAACAATTTAACCGCCTACTGTTTGCATGCATACAGCAATATTCGTAAAAGCAAGCTTATTTTAAAATAACTTGTTTATGTCTTGGCCCTTGGTGGATGTAAACTATTGTAAACCAGAGTTGACATTTTTACTGAAATCAGCCTAGACTAGCTTATTAATTTTCCTAATCAGGCATTAGCTAGGCCTATCTGTATGGCATTTTTGAAGACTGCACGGGCTGTATTTTTGTTTTAGGCTTTTGAATTTAATTTGGTTAGTCTCTAAGCACCATATGCCACAAATAATGTAGGCCTACTCTAAATGTAGGCACTAAGGTCAAAAAAATGTCCAATCTGCAGACCAAATTTGAAAATATTTTTTTTATAGGCCTAGGTCTACATACATCTAGAGAATATAGTCCTAAATTAATAAAATCTAAATAGAATCTATCTATATACATTGGTATGATTAGGCCTACAATTAACATATTTTCCATTTGTATTAGATTAGGGTTTTCATTGTGTTTGTTGAATACTAACTTTAAATTAGTGCGAAAAGACATAAAGATGGAGTTAGTGATTTGCTGCCCTCAACTCATTGCATCATGTCAAAGCAACCACCTGTACTGCCCACATTTATAACGCTCATTACATAAAGCCCACACGGTACAAAGGCAGTCATTGACACAAAACATCAACAACAGACAAGGCAGACTGAGGAGAAGCCGAAGAAGAAGCGGCAAAACAAACATACAAAACACAATGATGTGCCTAAATTTCATTTATAATTAATATTTCTACAGTGTAATTAACTAAATTCATTACAAAAGTTGAGGTTGCTGTGTAAATTATGTTATAGTATTTTTTACTTATTAGTGTTATACCATAATTCTATTAAACAACAAAAAAAAAAACCCACATCAATTCACTTTTTTTTTCAGAAAAAAAATTTCCTTTGTGACTTTTTTTTGTTTTTTTTCATGTGACTTTTTTTCACCATACAAGGACCTCATTTTTTCTAGTTAAAATTTAGGTTTAGAGAATTATAATTTGTACCTTTGGACAGAAATCCTAGATCCTGGTATGATTAAATTTTAAACAATCTAGGTCTACACCTAAATAATAAATAGGCCCACAGGCGTAGCGAGGGCGGTGCGGCCTGAACCAGACAATGCTACATCCAACTGTGTTATCAAAAGACTATAGATAAACAACATTACTATTAAGTCTGTAGTGATTAAAGCTTTTATACATACATGGACATATTTAAATTATAGGCCTAAGGAGGCCACACACATACATGTATATTATATATATATATATATATATATATATATACTTTTTTCTTGGGGGGGGGTGACACCCGACCTAGCGACGCCACTAAATAGACCTACTATATGTAGTAGCCTACATAGTACATTGTCTAATGTCTATATGCTCATCTGTTAGTCTATAAAAATATAATTATTTAGTGGTACCTTAGTTAACAAAGTTATTAAACCTTTATATCCTTAATTTTAACTCCGTAATGTAATTAAATCTAAAAAATAACCATTTTACCTAGGCATATTTCTCAGTCATAGACTGGAACTTTTTGAAAGTCATGAAGATGCTCTATTTTGCTCAAACGCACCAACTACTTAAACTAAGCAAGTGCAAAAGAAGAGAATAAAATAATGTGGAAACATAGGATAGAGCTAGCAGAATTAAAAAAAAATTATATTGATTTCTGAACAGGTTTACTGTATGTTTGTAGAGAAAGCTAAATAAATTAGCAATGGTTAGGGCCTAGGCCTATATATAGTATCATTAAATGTATTCGGCTAATGCAAGTGTTTCATAAGTTATTAAATAAAAGTTGCTGATCGATGATTTTTTTTTCTTCATATAGCCATGATGAACATCAATACTTGAGTGCCATTAGAAAGATAATTGATCATGGGGTCCTCAGAAGTAACAGGACTGGTGTTGATACCAAGTCAATATTTGGAATGCAAATGCGGTATTGTCTTAGAAACAGTAAGTGCTTAATCAAAGTAATCTTTTGCTTTCTTTATGCCAGTTTTATATAGTAAAGAGGCTGTTCTATGCAGGTTATGGAGAGATGTTTTTATTGTATAAACTTTATCACTGGTTATTTTTCTGTGGTTTAAAACAATCTGATCCATCATTCACTAGTTGTATGGGAAGAGAGTTTGTTGATAGTTTAAGTTATATCAGATAGAGGCAGATTCTCTCTGCTAAGGAACTGACAGCGCAACACAATTAAGTACTACATGTCAGCTTGTTATGCTTTTGTCCAACCAAGAACAAACTACAAGCCAGCAGTTGTTTGATTTTGAGTTGTCTCTCCTAGATGAGTTGTTGTCCACAGCTATCGAGCCTCATCTGCCCAGGGGTTGGAACTTGAAACTTTTCGGTTCAGAACCATGAGCTTAACCCACCCTAATATGCCAACCTTCTCTGTATTTTGTCTTCTTTCCTTTAAATTTTCTTGTCTGCAACCTTTGTTGTGTAATGAGCCCTTTTATTCATTTTTTTTTTCCAAAAATATTTGAGTCTGCCTAAGTTATATTTTACTGCTGTCATTTCAATTTCAATGGCAGAACCAGACTGGAAATAATTGTGTGGGACTACACTGTTCTAATTATTATTTATTAATGCATCTTTATATGATACATTCATCAAAGAGTCAAATTAAACCATCTACGTCATATATTTTTGGTTCAATTTGTCTTTGATTTTAAATATAACTGGCTCATAGAGAAAGAACTGTTTTATGGCTTTTTCAGTTACCCCTTCGTAATTAATGTAAATTCCTATAATATGTAACTTAGGTTTGTATCAAATTTCCATGTAGTCTCAGTTATATTCACCTGTCATGTTTTTTTTTACTAGCCTTTCCCCTGTTGACAACAAAAAGAGTTTTCTGGCGGGGAATATTGGAAGAGCTTCTGTGGTTCATTCGAGGGTCAACCAACGGCAATGAGCTCAAAGAAAAAGGTGTTCACATATGGGATTCTAATGGTTCCAGAGAATTCCTGGATAATAGAGGTCTACGAGATAGGGAAGAAGGTAGCATGTTTGTTTACATATTCTTACACTTGAACTCGAATGTTATTTTTGTATTCGATCATGCAAAATGTCCTAAATATTTGTGTTTTTATAGGTGATCTAGGTCCAATTTATGGATTTCAATGGCGGCATTTTGGGGCTGAATATTCAAACATGCATGCTGACTATGATGAGAAAGGTGTGGATCAATTAAGAGACGTCATAACAAAAATAAAAAATGCACCCAATGATCGAACCATTGTGATGTGTGCTTGGAATCCAAAAGGTATTTATGAAATATTTTTTACAGCCTACCGTCAGTGGAATTCATTCACTTACTGATGGTTAGTTGCTTATTTCAAAGGAAGTCTGAAATATTTTTCAGACATGCTTACTGTCCCACCAAAAATGATATTGTTCCAGTAAGTTACGAAAAAATGTGTCTCATTCCGCCTTTTCAATTTTGTTGAAGTTTGTACATAAACATAAGCAAATAAATACATTTTTATTTTATTTTGAAAAATGAACTGCAAAAGTAGAGAGGGAAATGCAATTATTTCACTTCTGGCAATCGTTTCTGATTCAATATGTACGTTTAAAACTTAGGCATACATGTTGATCAATAAATTGTCTGTCGCCAAGATTGCAATAGCTTTGAAAATGTATACAATATTTTAGATATATTCAGAGGAAGGAATGAATACCTAAATGAGTAATCATTTGATTTATTATCGTCGATAGTACATAGCAAATGAGCAGCACTTGAGCATGGAAAGCTAGTCAAAGAATCTTTAATAGTTTCGGATTGTTGTAGCATCAACTAGTTTTAAATCAAACCTATAGTGATATTAACTACATACTAAAACGACATGTAATTCTCATATCAAGTAGGCCTACTACTGTTAGACTTTTTAATTATTTTTAACATCACAAAGTAGCATCCATGCACATGTTCCTCTTTTTGCCTTCAAAATTCAAATTCCATTTTTTAGTATGGCTGTTCCTATTTGGGTAGTCTGTTAGTGAAAAATTTACTTTCATTGGTAGCGTATGTTATTTTGATTGCATTCTGTTGAGGCGAATATGAAAAAATATACTTACAAACTTATACTTATTATATTTTCTCAAACCATGACTAACTTTAATTTTATTTATGTAGATCTTCCTATAATGGCACTACCTCCCTGCCACTGTCTGGTCCAGTTTTATGTTGCCAATGGTGAACTCTCTTGTCAATTATATCAGAGATCAGCTGATATGGTAATATTTGTTGATATTTTTTAATTAGAAATTGCCTTTGACAAGGCTGCAGACTTGTACATTTTTGACACTGATGTTACAATATTATGATCATGCCTAAACAATAACACTATTGCCTTATTTGTTCTTAATTGTATATTATTGTATGGGATTACCTCCAATACTTTTAAGTATTAAGCGACAATAAGTTATTCACCGTTTGGTCAGTTGACTGTTTAAAATATTCATTGTATAAGTAATATAACTTACGAGCCTACCCACGGCATATCATATGCAGCTATTTAGTTGTTTTATTTTCTACTTTTCAGTAATTCATAATTTGTGAATTCGACAGTACCAATGCTGCCACTGAAAATATTTGCATTAAAACACTATCAGTAGGTCGTTAAGAACAACACTACCCTCACCTTCATTTCCTCCTTTCCCCTAACCCTTACCCTACACCCCCCCCCCCCCTGTGAAAGCAGCATCCTCTTAGTTAGCTCCCCTAAGTTTAAAATCGTTTCAAACTAAATTATCTGCCCCTAATAGCCGTCACTTAACCCGGCTCTACGAATGTAAACATTTAGCGTGAACCACAGCTCACCAGACCATGTAGGGGTGGGTTGGTAGGGAGCGCGGTTACAGCTTGTTTTCTAGCGTCTCCCAGAAGAGAATTATATATATAGATAACCATCATAACTAGGGTGTCGCCTCAGATTTTAAACTTAATTATTGTTCATGGTGACTTTAAAAATTAAAAACTAAATTTATTTTCCTTTAATTTGATACCAATTTTATTTATCTGATTTATCAGTAGCCTAGAAAATTATTTGTGGAAAAATGCGCGTTTGTTTTTAAATGGCTACGATAATAAGACTATTTCAGTGATATGGTGGGTTAGTTTTTTAAGGAGTGTTTTTGTGACGCTATCAATCGTTCAGTGCCGTTCAGAAATGTGGCGTCTGCTAGATTTCTTCCCATTCACTGTGGGCAAAATGGGTGGGCTTAGTTAGCTGGAATAAGTGAACTGATCAATTTTTTGTTTCTTTTGACATGAATGTTTTAACTGTTTGACTTTTCATTCTATATTGTAGGGGCTTGGAGTGCCTTTTAATATTGCAAGCTATGCTCTCCTTACCTGCATGATTGCACATGTGACTGGATTGAAGGTACACTACATTTTCAACCTTAGTCTATTTGATTTGTCAACATTCAGTACATTTAAATTGACGATGACACAAAAGGAATTAAAGACGACTGAAAGACTTAATGAATATTTTCGGTTGTCAGTTGAATATAGACAATATGGTCTCCTCTCTCTTTATTTTTTTGCTATAATTGTTTGTGATTTTTAGTCAGTGTTGTTTCAGGTAGTTAGTTCTGTATTATGTTCTAGCACTTAGATGCATGCTTTTCATTTAAATGAAAATAGAATCCCTTATGTTGTTGCTTATAAGGGGTCATCCATAAATGACATCACACTCTGAGGGGGGTCTGTAATCTTGTGACTGTGTGATGAGGGGGAGGGGGGGGGGGTGTTCAGATGGTGTGACGTCCCACTTTTGCATTATAAAAAAGCAATGTTAGAAAACAAAATTTAGTGGTTATTTTGTGTGTTAGAAACCTGTTTTAACAAATTGTAATAGGAATTGATTAAAATACTCTATGTAGACAGTTCAGACAAGATTTTAGAAAAATATCGTATTTTAAGAAAAATTCAACTGCCATTTGGAGGAGGGGGGGGGGGGGGGGAGTTGTGAGGTGTGATGTCATTTTAGGGGGGGTCTGGCTGTTATTGACAGGGGAGAGGGAGGTAAAAAAAAATTGTCAAAAAAAGTGTGACGTCAAAAATGTACTTTTTAATCCAGGTTTTGAATTACTTTCAAATTAATTTTTTAGACTAAATAACTACCATGCTATTGTTTGTGTTTCAGCCTGGGGACTTTGTACACACTTTAGGTGATGCACATGTGTATGTCAATCATATCCAGCCTTTACAAGAACAGGTATACTTACATTATTACATTCTGGAAATATTTTATGTTAGCAGTTCATTGATAGCAAAACATAATTGTTAATGCTTTTAGAGAATTGTAAAATTTTAGGATCTTGTTTTTGTTTACACAGTTGAAGAACAGGTATATACTTACATTATTACATTTCTGCAAATATTTTATGTTAGCAGTTCATTCATAGCAAAACATAATTGTTAATGATTTTAGGGAATTTTAAAATTTTAGGCTCTTGTTTTTGTTTACACAGTTGAAGCGCGAGCCCCGTGAGTTCCCATCTTTGTTAATCAAACGACAGGTCAGTGACATAGAAGACTTCAAAGCTGATGACTTTGAGATACTGAATTACAATCCCCACCCAAAGATACAAATGGACATGGCAGTTTAAACCCATGATGTAGAAATGTATGTTCAGTATTTTATCAAATGTAAATTTTTAATTTTTAGAATAATTTCTGATGAACCTTTTTGCTTAAGTAGTTTATATATATATATATATATACATTTATCTGCACATGTATTAAATCAACTTAATTTTAAAATCACTTTAAATGTGCAAACTGTAATGTAATTGTCAAAATCTTCAAATGTTTCACCTTATTTTTTTTTTATTTTTGTTATTTTCTAGATTATGAAGTGTAAATGTCTTTTTGTACATAATTATAAATGTGTCACCAGTTGATTAACCTATATAACCTAATGATTCTAGTTTTATAAATTTGTTAACTCTTATTTTTTTATAACACATCAAATTTAAATTGTTATAAAATTTTGTTTTTCTTTGTTTCTTTATTTTAAATTTTTAAAATAGTTAACATTTTTCCCAAGAGGTTTTTTTATATATAAAAAGAACTAGTTTATAATTTTTTTCAGCACTTACATCTATTTATAAACTTTAGTGTACATACATTTAAAAAATTATGAATAGCTTCCACTTAAAATACCTGTCAAACCATAAACCTTGAATATACCTTAGTCTATTTTGTACATAACATTGTTTTGATATTGTGCTATTGTCTTTCAATTGCATTATAAACCTTGATATTGTAATTAATGTTGATACAGTAGATGTTTTTAGTGCTAAACATTGGGATACCACAAAATAATGTGTTCACCTGTATATATTCTTTGCCAAGTCAATGCCCATTGTTATTGAATATTTATGACTAATGCGAGGTCACTATTGATGTGTTCAAATCTGATGCTTTAATAATTTGACAGCAATTTTTTCTACACACCCAATAGTTCAGCAGAGTTTTGTAACCTTCAGTGGAATTTGTTAATCATTAAGTACAATAGTAAATAATTTTACAAATATTCTTGCTGCCAGTTGTTTGTAAAAGGGAAAATTGCCTGTTCACTAATGAATAATCACTTCAATTAGAAATGGGGTAAAGTGAAGGTTAGTGGGCTTATCTGGATCTGCTTCAGATTTTCAAGTTGAGTGACCATAAACTGATATTACTTATAATATATTTCTTACTTAAAAGTGCTGTCAAATTATTCAGAGCTTTAATGTTGATGTATTGTCCCATAAAACCAGATTTCACTGCCCATTGTAAATACAATATGAACTAAATAAAATTGTTATTCTTTTATTTTGTGGTAAATAAAATAAATATATACATTAAAAGTACAGGCCCAAAACCCCTAAAAATATTTTGGGATTGGCCAACACTTCACAGCCACATTTACATACCAGATTTTGTATATCATGATCATAATTTCATTACATAGGACATTACACACACTATTAAAAAATATCACACTGAGGCAGATATTGTAAACATTTTTTATTTTTCCTTTGGAAAGCTAAGGACCAGGTCACAGAACTATTTACATCCTCTTTAAGCATGCAGTAACGTTTTTAAAGAGGTAAAGAACAAATACACCGAGGATTATCTTCCTGTTAGAGACCTGTTAAATAATGGTAATCGCTCTCTAAATATGGAATGGGAATTAAAATGCATCATTGGAGTAATGAGAAAGCTCTAGTATTATTTTCATGGATAAATAACTATGTACAGTTTAAAAATGAATCATTCTCTCAGGGGAAAAAATGTGCATACTGCATAAAATTCCACCTTATGGAAAAATCAGCAGAAAAATATTGAAATTGAGACAAGCTAAAACAAGCAAAAATGATATCTTAATTCAGTATAGACAGGAGCAATTAAGAAACTTGAATTTAGTTGCAAACAAAATAAGTTGTTTAGCATGTTTTTGCTACTGACAGAAAACATTCAGTTTAAGTTTTGTTTTTCTTATTTAAATAGTCACAAAGAATTAAAATAAAGAACAGAGGGATAGCACTACTGCCTAATGAACAGATTAAAACTGAAGAAGCTGCTACTGTGAGCTTCTGATACAAGTGAACAACTTCACCATACTGCTCTGGCTATGATTCTGTTGAGCAATACACAACAATCAGTAAACAGAAATAAGATATGCATGGGCAACAGGTTTTATTGCTTGACTAAGCCAGCATAGAACAAAATAATATATAAAAAATAAGACCTTGCTAGTCTTAATATAACTCTTGCAATGCCACTTCATATGATACAATAAAGTATTCATTGAGTAATTAAATAATCATCTTGTATGTCTCAAACCCTGAACAAAATCTGAGATCTACATGATAATACAGCTGCATTAAAATCATGTTGTAAAAATGTCTTATGAACATTGAAAGTCAGTAGATGATGAGTGAAACTAATACAAAACAGTGACCACTCAAAACTGGGGAAACAATTTACCGTTTACTAGCCCACAAAATCCCTGTATTAGAATCAAACCCAATAAAAAATTTAAATATATATAAAAATATTTTATTTTGTTTATTTATTTATAGGATTTCATCTCAATACTAAAGTAATTTAAAAACAAAAATCTGTATAGCTAGTATAAATAAAGATGTTTTACTACAGCTGTATCTAGAGGAAACTATTTTCATCTAGGATATGCGTTTCTTGAACCCCTCTTAAATCACATTTCTTCATTCACCTCCAGTTAGCCAGCTGCTGCATTCATTCAGAGGGGAAGCCTTTGCTAGGACATCTGCAAATCATCTTCAGTAGGTGGTGGTGTTAGCTCAGCATCACGGTTTATACTCTGGTGAAAAAGTAGGGAAAACATAACTTCCACCATATATATATTGTATACATTATGCTCAAATGTGTCATGCTGTTGCTCTTTAAAGGGTATATCACTGTTCTCCCCAAAAAGAAGACCTAGTTTTTTATTATATTTCTAGTTGGTCAATAGTGCTTGTTTACTTATTAAAAAAATAATTAGATAACACTTAGCAGGATAATACAGAAGCTGTAATGCTATATAATTATACGAGCTGACCCGTGACGTAGCATACACCGCTATTTAGTTTAATTCCTATTTTTTAGCTGCGACTGAAAATATTTTGCTTTAAAACACCATCAGTAGCTAGTGAAGGACAATTATCCTCACCCTGACTTTCCACACCTCTCCCCGCCCCCCACCTCCGTGAAAACAGCCATCTGACGACAGTTTACAGGCAATAATGAAAGGAGCAAGCAGTACATGTTATTATCTCCCCTTAGTTTCAGTTCGTTTAAAAACTAAATTATCTGCCCCTAATAGCCGTCACTATTATTGTAAACAGCTCACCAGACTGGTGGGGGTGGTGGTGATAAAGTCTGTTGAGCTTATGTCTTTGTGTCTGGCATGGTCCCAATGAAGAGAATTATATATAGATTCTACTTTTCACTAATTCATATTTTTAAAAATTCTACACTACCAATGCTGCGAGTGAAAATATTTTGCTTTAAAACACTATCAGTAGCTCATTAAGGACGATTGCCCTCCCCCTCCTCGTGAAAGCAGCCGTCTGTGACGACAGTTTACAGACAACAATGAAAAGATCAAGCATAATTTATAATTACCCCCCCCCCCCCCTAGTTTCAAATAGTTTAAAAACTGATTTATCTGCCCCTAATAGCCATCACTTCTATTGTTAACATTTGGGGTGAACCATAGCTCACCTGACAGGTGGTGATGGGGGTGGTAGCGATATGCCTAGAAAGCGGGGTAGGAACGGCTAAGCAGCGTGGTGTCTTGTATGGTCACAATGAAGAGAATTATATATATAGATATTTATTAAATAAATTAAAAATAGGGATAATGATATTTAATAATCATGAACATGGTGTGTGGATATTTTTATAGAATCGCTAATTATAGTTGGCAGTGGCGCTCATCATTGCTACGGGCATTATGATGAGATGTGTTTGTTGTTGGTGCGGCCATGAATTAATTTTTAATTTAATAAAGTTTAGTCTACAAAGAGTACTACCCTCGCTGCCTAGCAACCAAAAAGTTAAGGTTAAATACAGCGTATGCGAAGTCTCAATATTTATATACAAATAAACAAATATTTCTACCACCGACTTTTAAAATTTAAACTGAACTTTAATTTTGAGAGCACTATGATAAAAAAAAAACCACTTTACACTTGAATTAAGGATAAATATTTTGAAAGTATGTTATTTAAAAAATAACAGTTTATGAAAAAGGTATAAATGAGTGTTAAAAAATAGCCACTTTATAGTATTAAAAAAAGTAAAAATTTAAATACTCTTCTGATGTGTCCAGGGTTAAGATACCAATAGAACTAACTTTTTCAACCATGAAACTTATAGGTAAACCAACATTAACCAATAATATAACTCTGAGATAGGCAACTCTGAAACTTATAGAAATGATGGGTACATTTACAAAAGGAAACACTAAGTTAGTATAACACGCAAAACAAACTATTAAACCAAAGATGTGTACACTTACGAATGGTACCATGGAACTACCAGTAAATGGAACTAGTTGATGTGGGGTCTGCTGTATAGAGTGGTTGGCTGCAACGTTGTTACTACTGGTATTAGCATGTTCTCCTCCAATTCTTGCCAGCTGTTGAGTGAGTCCAAGTAAACCACCCTCTGCCACAACCACATGCACATGAATCACATCTGAACAAAAACATTTCAAATTACAATACAAGAAATTTAAAAAAAAAAAAAAGATCTAAAAGTTTAAAAAGTACTAGTATAAGATATATAAAGCAACTTTTTAAAACATCACAACTGTCAGGCAGCAACATTCTGACCAACAAAGAATGATACTGTATTTTACCACCCCTCCCCCCCCCCCCCCCCAATGTTTGCCAGTGTCTGTTTATTAAACAGGTGCTGGGTATCAAGAAAAGTAACAACAAAACTGACAGATTTAAACAACATAATGTATTAGAGGTGTAATGAGTAGCAATGTAATGATACAAACCCCCAAAGTACAATCCAGTAGCGGTACACATCCTCCACAGACTTTGGTAAGATCCAACTCCAGAGGGAGACCTCATTTCTACAGATATATTCACTGTGTCTCCAGGGCCTAAACCATCTACCATTTTCCTATCAACCGTGCTAAGGTTGTCACCACTGCAGAATCTTAACTGGCATCCAGGAGGCCAGCGGTCTGTACCTAATTATAAAGGCAAAAGAGGGCATTGTTTTTTAAAGATTAAAAACTCTGTTTAACGATGAGTGATCACAAAAGAGTGATATGTTTTAGTTTAGGCCTAATTAATATTACTTTTTAACAAGTTTTTAGTTTGAACTCAAACACAAACTATCGTCCTAAGCCCTAACACTAACCCTCTAAAAGAATATTGTATTACTGCTAGCAACCTAAAAGCTAAACACTAAACTAAAACAGTCACTAAAACAACCTTTAGGTTAACTAAGCCACATCACTCACCTGAATTTTTTATTCTCCATGTCTTAAAAAAAGAAGTATTTGGAGCAACAGATTCTCCATCCCCAACAGTCACATCAGCAATGAATGCCATAGATGGCAAAGCAATAGAAGGCTGTTCAAAATCATAGTAGGAACAAACTGCATTCTGAAGATTCCTACATAGACAAATTAACTAAGTATGACAAGTCTAGACTTATGGGACTCATATAATATGAAATAATATAATATGAAATGATTATACTGAGCAAACTGCATTGCCTCCCCATAGCTAGGCGGAGCAAATATGTAAGCGCAAACATTCTTTGTGTATGACATTCAACTTTTTGAAGTTGTGATAATGTCATAATGGTTGTGTATCAGTCAGCTTGTTTTTCGAGGTGTGGGTCCAATTCTTTGGGATCTGTGGTTTGTTCTGCTATTTGTTTTCTTATTTTACTTACTAAATAAAAGCTGTTAATGAACTTTTGAAGTTACGGGTTAGGTTTGGTTTAGGCTTACCATTCATAAAGCCATTAAGGTTAGGATAAAGGCTGCACTAGGGTTATGGTTATGCTGTGTTTGTAAACACACGCGTCCGCAGTACAATCAATAACGTTACGGCGAATAGAATTGTTCTCAATTCTAATAGTAGGTTGATTAGGCCTAGAGCCTATGGCCTACTATTTATTTAATTTGAAACAAAACCACAGGAACCTACTTATTGTTAACATTGCAAGGTTTAGTATTATTAATTAAAAAATTAATAGGCCTAAGTATAAATTGGTCATAAGAAAAATAATTAATCAATGAATTGATGATTGGGGTTGTGTTGTGTTTGTAGGACGTAGTACAGAGTACAGTGTACAAGTGTTAAGTGTAGTGTAGGCACGAAGGTAGGCTTAGTTAGGCCTAACAAGCAGGAGTAAAGTAAATCTGGACACAAATTAACTTTGTAGCTTGACTTTAAAATTTCATAGTTATGCCTTTGTAGATCTAGCACTATTACTTAGATCTAGAACACACCAATTATTCATATCCAGAAAAAAGGCGCATGATTCAGGATTCAGCTTGTTTCCTAGGAGAGCTTGAAATTCAGCGATGAGAACATCACGATCGGTGGTTCCCAACGACCGAAACTGATCAAGCAGTTTCCCATCAAAATCATTGTCAATATCTATATCCATTATGATAAAGCCCCATCTGAGATGCCACAGGCAATACTCAAATTTGAACTCAACTTGGAGGTGAAATCAGTTATTGTGTAGAAACAAAAACTAAATCTACGTCGTCTCTTGACGTTCCCCTTTTTTTGATTCAGTGTAACCGGAAGTTGCAGTTGTCATTTCCTACACACATGCTATTGCGCATGCTCACCTGTAAAAGAGTTGTGGGAAAATATGTAAATTAGCCATGCGAAGTCAGTTTACAAACATGCGCAGATTTGCATAATGACTAATGTGTGAAACTGATGATCGTCGCGGAGTACAATTTATATAGAAAGATAATTGCGTCTATATTATCAATACATTATAATTCTACATACTACATATACATATCGAATAAACCTTCCCATTTAATGTTTCGAATCAAAGGTTAGGTGAATTGGTTGAGACGGATTCTACTATAGCAACCATTAGTAATTAGGTAGTCTTAACAGTAGAAAAACTTAAAAACATTTTTTGCTATTGACATTGGGATCATACATAAACGACACGTTACACTCATTGGAAGGAAGGCGGAGGGGGTAGGGCGGGCGGGGGTGGGGGGGGGGGAAGCCTGACTGACGAATTGTAAGGAATGGTTGAAAACATGTGACGACATAATGTTGCATTTTTTAAACTGAAGACTATTTTAAGCTGCACTTTATCAGCCTTTTAAAAACAATTATTAGATATTTATGTTTTTTTAAAAATAATACCTGTTTAGAAAAGTGTCATACAATTTGAGTAATGAACCTGCTGGTGATCCTGGTTCGCTAAAATTTTCGAATTAAATTTAAAGAGCCATCAATGATTTATGGTCAAAGGGAAAAAACACAATAAATATTTTCACCTAATCATCCCAGCGTAGTTGTGTCCCCTGATAGAAACAAAAATAGTTATATTTATAACTATAATTACACTACTATAAATATTGTTGAAAACTGTTCTTTGTTATTTATAGTTATATACAAAGTGTGGCATTATAATATTAAAAGGAAATCATTCAATATTTTTCTTCACAGTACATAAATAAACGCATGAAATTATAAACTTTTTTTAAAAATTTAAACATATGGTTCTATTTTAATTACAAATGTATCTTCACACTTTCTCCATTTAGAATTAAGTGAATAACTAGTTATTAATAATGATCACGATTTTCAATTGCACAACTATGAAAAAGGGACGCAATGTTTAATGTCCTATTAAGTTCAAAATGTTATCTTTGTTATTTCCCTTAGATTGTATTTTTTTCTATATAGTAAAAAAAAAAATAGTTAAAACAATGTTTTTTGTTACTTCCCTTAGATTGTAGTTTTTCTGTTGTTTTTTCGCCTCATTTCTGACGAACTTTATAGGAGACTTTATTCAAGGAACATGTAAAAAGGTGTGTATGGATATCGGTTTATTGAGAAATGAATTTAGTAGTCAGGGCATATTTTTTGTTTTCCGTGACTGGTACAGATTTGGGCTTCTCTATTTGAAGACGATCATAGGCAAATTTCTAAGGTGGACAAGTGGAATTATAGAGGGTTTTGGTGACTTTGTAAGCTGTACAGTCTCCTATTGTTAAAACTTAAAACTGTGAGGCTGTTTTATGAAAACAATATGAAATAATTAGTCTGGTATACAAGCACATGTGTCATAAGTAGTAATAATAACGTTTATAGACTGTCAATACTTGCATGATATATGACATAGACTACTTGTAGGATTTTTTTAAAATTGTAGTTCAAGAGCAGCCTTACGTGAGCCTTATCACGGACATTTGTATGATCTATACAAGTTCTATTACGGACCTTGGTATGATTTATACAGGTCTTAACTAGGACATGTGTATGATTTATACAGGTCCTAACACGGACATTTGTATGATTTATACATGTCATATTACGGACATTTGTATGATTTATACAGATCCTATTACGGACCTTGGTATGATTTATACAGGTCCTAACACGGACATTTGTATGATTTATATATGTCCTATTACGGACATTTGTATGATTTATACAGGTCCTATTACGGACATTTGTATGATTTATACATGTCCTATTACGGACATTTGTATGATTTATACAGGACCTGTCACCGAAATGTTTATTATTTATATAGGTCCTATTACAGTAAATATTACATTAAACTAATGCCGTCCAATGCAGATGAAGTAGAGTTCATCTTTTCCATTGAGAATATTTCTTGCAGTGGCGAGTACTTTACCCATGAACTTCTAGGGTCGTTACCAGGTCTTGACACCCGCGCTGATCTTGAATATTACAGCAGTATGGTCTAGTAAAGTTCCATTTTCCAACCAGACGGTCCATGTAGCAAGTGAAGTAGAGTTCACCTGTTTCTGTGACCTCGGCATAATCGTCCTTCACTAAAGAGCGGGTCAGCTCGTTAATATTGTTATTGTTACTATTCTTATCAGTATTATTACGGTGAACCTTCTTAAGGAACAAACTATTTTTAAAAAAAAAACATCAGTGAAAGGAAAAATACCAGACGAATCATAAAATAGTAAATTTATTTATATTATAACACAATAAATGAAACAATGTACAAGACATGTAAAACGGATGAACACATTAACAATTAATTAATTAAATTACTATTCACATTAAATGTATGACCAGTATTTATAATGCTTTTAATTTTTTTTTTAAATAATGCAAATTTAAATTAACAGGAAGTAGATTTTATAACTTCCTCCTTGGAGGGGGTATTGACCTGCGCAGTGAGTCAACATAGATCCACTCTAACGCCCTATCAGGGGGGAGAAGCTTACAGAAAAACAACCCGTCTTCAGGCCCGAGGTTTTCAGTGTGGGGCGTCTTGAACGCAATGCTAGTCACGTAGAGTTCTGTCCCTTTGGTCTCGACCTTCAACTTGGTTGTCTGCCACAGGACTTCGGAGTCCGTGACGATATCCGGTTCAAAGATGGCGCCCCTGCGGTACCGGTCATACCTCTGTCTCGCTGTGTCTGAAGCCGTGTTGTAGGCAGTTACAAAGCTAGCCTAGGGAAAAAATGATGTGTAATGTTTTAATACGATTTACATTTACTTACACTTGTGAACATTTCCTTCAGAGAATCGAAAAAATGGATATAAAAATCATATATAATGACAAGATTTTCTATGTACTAATAAAATAAAATAAATTGATTTTCCATTACGTCTCTATTCATATATATATATATATATATATATATATATATATATATATATATATATATATATATATATATATATATATATATATATATATATATATATATATATATATATATATTCATATATATATATATATATATATATATATATATATATATATATATATATATATATATATATATATATATATATATATATATATATATATATATTTATATATATTAAAAGCGTAGGTTGCTATAGCATTAATTCTTATTATGAATTCCCTACTAAAACTATAAGAGCGATCCATATGTCACACTGCATTGTCATCGGGTCTTGAAATATTTTTTAAACGCAAATAAGCCATACCAAAGTTCATATTTAGCTTGTATTGCAAATAAAACCTTGGGTAAAATATATTACTTATGACTAGCTAAAACCATACCACTGCCGCTGACTGATGACAATACGATCACTGACCATTGCTAAAATGTTACCTACATAAACCAACCCCACGTGCGAAACTGTATAAACTTTCTTTCACATCAGCTCAAATACCATTCGGAATTGACAATAATTATCGGGAGAGCGACCAATTACAATATCCCACAGACGGGCGGGAGTTTGTGTTTGTAGACGAGGGCTAATCACGTGATATTAAAACGTTGCCAGTCTCGCCAGAGGCAAAATCAGACACCGCCACACCCCCGCATCACATCTCAAATAACCACTACAGCCACACCTCACCCCACACCAGCACCACATCAATTACCATTACCACTAGCAACACCTCACACACGCTAACTTCAGACCACCTACCCCCGATATACATATATATATATATATATATATATATATATATATATATATATATATATATATATATATATATATATATATATATATATATATATATATATATATATATATATAATCCAAAACCACATCCCCTACCACCACCAATATCATCCCCCAAATACTATTACACACCCACATCACACCACCTAACAGCATCACCGACACCCTACCAAACGACTACACCGCACCAACCTACACCACCAAACACCATAACCACGTATCCTCCCTGAGCCCAACCTACGTAGTTCAAATCCCTGCACGTGTAGTTCTGGGCAATGGTCGAGTTCTTGACGTACGCCTGGATCCGCTCCGGACCCAGCATCTTGGCGGCGATCTCTTCTGGCGCCATCAGGGAGCTGTCGATGACGCCGCCGCCCCTGACGTCATCAGAGGACCGGATGATGTCGGAGAACGTGACGATTTTGTTGATGCCGTGTTCGGTGATGATGGCGGGCGGGAGGCCGAAGTCGTTGCTGTCCTTACCCACGAGGCTCTGCACCTGATGGTGGGGGGGGGGGGAATGACAAATAAACATTGGTTTAATCATCGAGTACATTCCACGGTGCGGTGTGAGTTCATATCAACAGAGACTTTAGTTATTAGATAGCAGGAGCGATATGATTGAGCATGCGCTACACAACACACGCGTATGCGAGCATACATAACGATACAAAAACCTAGATCCACACACACACACACACATACACACACGCGCGCATAGTTACACACGCGCATACACACATACATACAAGAAAATAAATACATACACATTCACACAGCCAACCACATCTAACACATTCCTACTCACTATGAAAAACTAACTGCGCGCACACTCATACATAGACGCATTCACATGTATACACTAATGCAAAAAAACAACAACACTCAGCCACCCAGCGGCTCACATATATCTCCCATTCACTCTTACACAAATACACTACTATACACACACACACACACCATACACGCACCTCCACCCCCCTCCCCAGCTCCCACATACACATTAACACACACATATACGTGACATGACATACAACAATGCTGGTTTAGCGCTGGGATGCATCACTTGATTACCTCAATCTCTGAAGAGTCTTTCCCTTCCATTCCAGACAGCCATTTCTGTGCCGTCCGCACCCAAAAAGATTCTAGATTTTTCTCCGTGCTGTCGCGAAGGAAGCGTATTGGCTGAAAAATAATAGATTGATTAAGGTTGTGTCCAAACCTCACCAAAAAAAAAAAAAAACAACCAACAAAACTATTTTAAATTATTTTAAATCGCTAAATGTTGCTGAAAATATTATATAACATTTCGATCACTCATCGTCACGTAGACAATATAACTTGAAGAACGTACATTGTATTACAAATATATAGAACTCAGTGTAACAACAGAATTTTGGATAAAATGTTTAAATCTTTATCAGAATATAAATCTACACAACAGGCCACCGAACACGTCAAGTGGAATTTATATAAAGCTAACACTTGGCTCAGTCCGATGTCTGCTTCGAAAACATAGCCTAAGACAATTTTTATAGGATTAATGTGTTAACAGTCTTATAATTTGTAAACGTTTCGGACAGCATGGTCGAACGGTCGCGCGCTCGCCTGACAACACGAAAGTCTCGGGTTTGAATACGATGGATATCTGATGGATACCTGACTCAGGGTATGGAAAAAATGGCGGCTAAGTATAGATATGATCACATGACATCTTTATTTGGCAATGTTACAAACACACGTAAACTCTACTCGATCTGCGATATTGAGCGCCAGGTCTGTTGAGCTTAGCTTACTTTTTTAAAATGCATTTTTTAGTGTTAACAGTAATCCAAAGTAAGTAAGTAAAGTCCCCTTTCAAACCTGACGGCCTATGCGGCAAGTGAAGTAGAAAGTAGAGTTCACTTGTTTCTGTGACCTCAGCATATGAAGGGATAGTGTGGTCAGCACTATGCCCAGCCGCATTTACTTTCCTTAACGTACCCATTAGAGCTGGGTGTACTCAGGATCGTTCTACGGACTTGAACCAGGATTAGACCTCGAGACTTTCGGGTTAGAAGTCTAGCTCTCTACCGCTAGCTTACTCCGTCCAATAACAGTAAATCAATGATGCTTCATAATACATTTAGACCTAGATAAATGTCTAGAGAAATAAACACTAAAACCTTGCAAGATGAAAACTACCTGTGTAATATTCACAGCTTTTTCAAACTCCAGCTTAAACTCTGCCGCAGCCGTTATTGCCAGCTCCTCCGGCTCCCGTAGAACGTTGGACAGGAAGTGTGACGTCAGTGTCGAGGCTCGCTCCATGGACAGCAGGTTGTCCACTTCCGGTTCGATGTCCAGCTCGTGCATGTCTGGGGGGAGGGTACCGCTGATGAAAATGGCGTGGTTGCCTCCCTCTAGGATGACCAGGGGGCTTTGTATGACGAACCCGGAATCAAATTGTGACGAGTGTATCAGAGCTCTGTGGAGGGGAATGTGGTGGTTAGAATGTGGTGGTCAAAATATGATGGTCAAAATGTGATGGTCAAAATGGGATGGTCAAAATGTCATGGTCAAAATGTGATGGTCAAAATGTGATGGTCAAAATGTCATGGTCAAAATGTGATGGTCAAAATGTGATGGTCAAAATGTCATGGTCAAAATGTGATGGTCAAAATGTGATGGTCAAAATGTCATGGTCAAAATGTCATGGTCAAAATGTGATGGTCAAAATGTGATGGTCAAAATATGATTGTCACAATTTAACCTTCCTAAACTTACATTTGGCCAAATAACCTAACATTAAGCCAAATAAACATAACATTTAGCCAAATAACCTAATATTTACGCAAATAAACCTAACATTTAGCCAAATAACCTAACATTTAGCCACATTAACCTAACATTTAACCTAACATCCACCTACTGTATAGACTGGGCTATTCCCGTGACTCGCGTGACCCCATCCAATTCACCAATCAGCGTCAAGACGGGTAACGGAAATGACACAAAGTTGAACATCTTGGGTAGAAATGAGCCCAGCAAGATCAGTCCACGTAACGTTTCGTACATGGCCTCAGCATAATTAGCGGCCACCTGACCTGTAGAACAACAAGTTTAAAAGGCATTTTATTTTTCATGGCTGATTATTTTAATGAGCAATGCTTAATGGTTTTTTTAAAAGATGTTCTTGAATTAATTTTAAAGCCAATCTAAATTATTCATTTAAATCAGGGGTCTCCAAACTTTTCAGTCCGAGGGCCGCATTACCTATCAAATTTCATTTCGGGGGCCAGTTTCTTCAAGGCATGTCTTTGATTTTTCTGGGCAAAGTTCCTCAGCCATCACCAATAAACGTGTTTACCGGGGACAAAAAGATCTCCGCGGCCGGAAGAGAGGACCTCGCGGGCCGCATCCGGCCCGCGGGTCGTAGTTTGGAGACCCCTGATTTAAATCATTGATTTAAATCATTAATGTGCCTCATTACACACTGACCATTGTCCCCCTACCCCCCCCCCATACCTGGCTGTCCGTGAGCAGCTAGAAACAGATCATGTTTCACACTAAGGCCCAGCTTCTTTAACTCTCACACTGACCATTGCCCCCCCTACCTCCCCCCCCCCCCCCATACCTGGCTGTCCGTGAGCAGCTAGAAACAGATCATGTTTCACACTGAGGCCCAACTTCTTTAACTCTCGAACCGACTCGTCCATTAACAGGGGCAAGTTATCCAAGGTCAATGATCCCTCTGTCGACGTGTCTATCAGGCCAATCCATAGCTTGGATGGATAAATCTGCTGGATAATCCGACCTAGAATAAACAAAAGAAAAATCCACAATGATGTTAGTTAACTAAATAAACGGACATGAAACTTGATCTTTACTGGGCGAATCACACTGTTAGTGAAGGTATCAAATTCAGTTCATAGATTCGGGTGCCTTGAATGAACCCACCAATGAGTGTGTTGTGTGGGAATGAATACGCGAGTGTGGTGTACTATGTGTTCTGGTATAAGTCTCGGGAAGTTTATATATCAGAACTGGTCGTACGGGTATATAGCAACTGGTCGAACGGGTATATCAAATCTGGTCGTACGGGTTTATAAATTATCGTCGTGCGGGTATAAAAGGTCGTCTGAAGCTGATGGTGTTCCCGTTATGTCATCTCTTTTAGTAGTTAGTTTGTTAGTGTTTTAGGCCTACTTACTGTACGGAAGTTAGAAGTTTCTCGTGGGCTAATTGTGTTTTGTAAGTATGAGCTGTGAAGAGTGTCAGGATTTCTATTTGACATGAAGGTTTTAATGTTTAAATAATAAGTTAAATTAAAAAGAAAATTATTAAATAGTTCTTAAAGAAATTAGCTTTTGAATTTGGTATTGCCGTTATAGATTTGTTTTTATTATAAACTGTACTCTGAGATAGCCTAGAAAAACATGATGTTTAAAATTTAACTGTATTTGTAAAATGTTATTAAACACGCGTTTATTTATAAACGCGGAGGGGGGTGTTATGACCCAGGTCACCCCCTAGCGCCGCCACCGGCATTGCATAACATTACAGCTTTCACATTCCACGGCTTAAACAGGCAGACGAACGTTTTACGTATGTTTACTTCGACAGCCACGAACGTAGCGCGGAATTTTATCGCTTCCGGTTGGCACCTTCTTGTCGTCTGCAAAGCTCGCGTCTGCTGGCTCACTTCTGCTTGACACGATAGCGCCAATCTTGTAGCCACGTTCAAACTGTTTCCGTGTGTGTTTGTATGTGTGTGTGTGGTGTGAGAGCGAGAAGGGGGGGGTGGGAATGGGTAGACATGAAGGACATTTTTTTCTTTCATTCTCCGGAAATTTCCTGAACTTAAATTTCCAACAACGAAAGCTGATTAAAAACATGTTTCCCCCCCCCCCTCCCCCCCCCCCCGGCCTACCCCTTCTATTTACACCTTGCAGTGAAAACCGGTGACACGAATGAATGGGCCACCAGCGTAGACAATTTGATCACGTTGATGGCAGCTTCTAGCATTGTTCAGCATCTACCTAGTTGTTAGGTGGGTGTGGGGGGTGGGGGGGGGGGGGGGTAGGGAATCCACAGAAGGTGGTTGGAGTGTTTTTTCATGAATTTCAATAATTTACAACACCAGGCACCCCCAATTTACAACACAAGGCTCTCTCAATTTACAAAAAAAAAAACAGCCTCTCCAAATTTACAACACGGTGCTCCCCCAATTTACAACACCAGCCTCTCGTAATTTACAACAACAAGATCTCACAACCAAATGCTACTTTTCATTTACAACACCCAGTTCCACTCAAAAATACAGAAAATAGAGCAAATCCTGCCAAATGTATATCCATCTTCTGTAAAAAATATATATATATTGGTTGGCTATGATGAAATGTATGGTTTGCGAAGACCTAACGCTGTTTTTACATTTAAAACATCTTCAATTAATTTTCATTTTAAAAAACAACAACAAAAAACGCGTGAATAATCACCAGATAATTTCACGTGATTTGTAAGCATGGCAAGTGGGACGGGTTCCGGTAAACCGCCGACCTTGACCTTCTCGGCTCACTCGCCGTACCCTCGGGCTGTCAGACGTCTCGTGTTGCACGATAAGAAAAGCCACGCGGAATAAACAAGGCCTATAACGTCTTAATCCGTCTTTGATGTGCAGGACGTGGCTAGGGGGCGCTCGCCGCTCCCACCAGCCCGTGGATTGTCTCATCTCGCGAGACTTTGGATACGTGAGAGTCTTTATAAAAAATGCGAGAGTTGGATCACATCCGGTTTTATTTGTTTATGAGGAGGGAGTTTTTTTTTTTATTGGGCTGTTTTTATAGGGAAAATTTAAGGGTTTTTAATAAGCCAATTCGAGGCTTAAGTCATGCAGTATTTGGTTTTATAAAAACCAAAGTGAGACTATTTAAAAACAATGTTTACTTTCCAAAACGAGGCTATGATAAGGGTTAATACAGGGTTAAAATAAGGCAAGGGTTATACCGTTCTTTTTATTGTATAAAAACAAAGCACTACTAACAACTATCAGAATATTCAATTCGCAACAAAGTTTGTTCTTTTGATTCTGTCGACATATAGACCTAAATTATATATTGGTTCCTGTTGGCTTTTGCGTTTTCCTGCTAGAACTATCCAATTCACCTTCAATGTTGTCACTAAAATAATAATTTTCTTGTTTATTTTTTTTTATTTTTGTTCTATGGCACTGGATACGAACGTAGTTTCGGGGAACAATATTAAACAACGGTAAAAAAATAATTTCAAATAAATGAAACAAAATTTTATTGGGATTTTGTAGGTGTAAGATGTATACATCGGATGTAAATTTAACAATAATAGGTAGGAAAAGTCTATGTAATCATACTAAATTTTAAAAAAAATATTTTAAAAAATATGGCAAGCGATAAAATTATAGCTACAATTTTAAAAATTAAAGTCGATTAGGAACCATCGATTACACTCATTTTCATATTTTTGTGTTGAACAGAAGCCGTTAAAAATAATTTTGAATAATTGTACTAATTTACATATTTTATAAAACCGCCCTCAACCCCACCTTGAACTCAACTGAAGTGGCCAGGGAGAGGTAAACGATGCAAGTCATAACATTTGTTATCCATGATAAATACGGACAAGGTAATCAAAATAAACAAAATGGCGAACAAGGGAAGATTTTCAGTTCGATTCAAGCTTTAAAAATTCGTTTGTATCCCCTTTCATTACAGTTGGCTTATTTTTTTATGACTGTTATGCTCAGATTATTAAGATCTAACATTATTAACATTATTCTTATTAATTGTTTATCTACCTTTTTTTTAAAAGTGTTTTTAACGCAAGTTTCATAATTTTTGTTAGGCCTGCTCTTCTACGCCATGATTGATACTAAGATTCTAGATCTAGATATCTAGATCTAGATCTATCTATTCTATAGTATGCTACGGCTTTTTAATATGTTTAATAAATTATTAAATATAAAAATACTAGTCTAGACTAGAGAGTCTACTAGATCTAGATCTAGTAAGTCTAGATCTATTATAATATTATTATTAGATAGATATTAGACGGTTTTTAACGCAAGTTTCATAATTTTTGTTAGGCCTGCTCTTCTACGCCATGATACTAAGATTCTATATCTAGATCTAGATCTAGAGATCTAGATCTATCTATATTAGTATGCTACGGCTTTTTAATATGTTTAATAAATTATTAAATATAAAAATACTAGTCTAGACTAGAGAGTCTACTAGATCTAGATCTAGTAAGTCTAGATCTATTATAATATTATTATTAATAATAGATAATAGATAGATTATTAGTAGTAAGCCTTAGCGTAAGGAACTTAAATATATTAAATAATACTAAATACTACTTAATACTATATTTTATAGGGGAGGCCCTAGGCCTAAGTATTAAATTTATTAAGTTGATCTAGACCTAGATCCAGACTAGATTGACTAGAAAGATTATCTGTTAAAAAAATATATCTAGATAGATCTATAGAGTATATAGAGTATATAGGCTATTCAATAAAATCAATAAGTATTTAGTATAAATATTCTATAGGCCTAATGATTGTACTAATAAATAGTAGAATCTAGAACTGTAATAGATAGTATCATATCTAGAATCTAGTATCTGAATCTAAGTATAGTAGTGATACTAATTTAATTTACTAATAGTAGGCCCAATAGAAATAAAGTAGACCGTCTGACTAGTGTGGTGGATTTAGACTAGATCTAGATATAGTTTTAAGTTTTAGTATTGCTATACTAGCGTCTATCTTATACTCTATATTTCAGTTAATTATAATAATAGATAAATTAAATTAGGCCCATATTTTATATTATTACAAAGTGTCGCTGGTATAGATAGTTTTAGACTTGTCGTATAGTAAATAGTAATTAGTAGGGCAGTATATACATGTAGTCTAATTAATGATTAGTCTAATTAGTTAGAGCCTACTTGTTTAAATATATTTACTATTTAGTAGTATTAATAAAGTATAGTTACTCTATTCAAAGTATAGTTATTAGGTATAATACACAACCTCATAATCGCAAAATCATGACATTAGTGACTCAGTTATTTAGTAGGCCAATAAGTTCTATATTAATTTAATTTTAATAGTTAATAGTTCTTAAATTACTAGATTTGTACAAATGAATACATTTTATTTTAGATAATTTAGGCTATGATACTGCTGAATACTTCAGTTACATTAGTATTATGAATTAGGGCCTATTTAGAGGTAATTATTAAATTACTAATTAGACGTATGATAACTTATGTTGGTCTAATAACTAATAGATTCATATTTAATAGCAGTAGGTCTGTAGGTATAGAATAGTATTGTAAAAAAATAAAGTATGCTTAATTTTTTACAGTTGTCATATTAATTTTAGTTTTAGTAGGTAGTAGTAGGCCTGTGATAGCGCAGGTAGTTAGTATTAGTATGTAAGTTAAACAAAGTTAACTACTATAACTAAGCTTAATAAGGCTACAATTTTAAACTAAAAATTACATGCAGCCTAAATAAAAGGTTACAGACTAGTGCATTAAATAATATCCAAAATTTAAGTTTAATCTACATTAGTTTAATAATTGTAAAAATTACTGAATAGAACAGTAGGCTTACTTGTGAAGAGCAGTCTTATTTTAGTTCTACTTAATTAATATATGACTTAGTCTACTCTTAGTCTCCTGTAGTTATCTTTTGAACTTATTAAAAAATGCAGAATAGTTAATTAAGCCAAAAGGTGTCAATTGTCATAGATGGATTAACTTACTATT